AAATACTATTAATTCAATTTAAATAGGTATTCGTTATATTTATATTAATGATGTGGTCATTTTGTTAACGTAAGTATTCATATCAGGAAGACTTATAATTTTTACCACATAATATTTAAACATATATAGCAGTGTTTCTCAACCCTGGTCCTGGGCGCCCCCCAGCACTGCACATTTTGTGTGTCTCCCTAATCAAACACACCTGATTCAACTCATTAGCTCATTAAAAAAGAAACTCCAGGACCTGAAATGGGTGTCAGATAAGGGAGACATACAAAATGTGCAGTGTTGGGGGGCGCTCAGGACCAGGGTTGAGAAACACTGATATAGAGTCACAATTCCCATTTTTATTTTATTCACATTGAAATGGAAACAGATTTCCATAGTATTCCACCCACACAAAGAACAATAATGTAGAGGAATCACTTCTATATTAAATGGTGTTATTCCGCCCAACATTTTGCATTGTCTATGTGGTCTCTGAGACCAGGAGAAGGTGAGGCAAAAAAGTAGAAAAATGCTGTAATAAGGAATCAAATTTAGTTGCAAAGAAACCAACTCCACCTGACTCTCTCTCTCTTATCTTTTCAAGTGTAAGTACTTGGGTGAAATGCATGATCAGCTCAAGATGTTCACTGGCTGAAGGTGAGGAGAACACACACACACACACACAAACACACACCTCCCCCATTTTGCTCATTAAGACATTACATAATCAACCTGTGGTTCAAGTCAAGATGAAAATGAAAGGAGGAGTGCTAGTCCATCAGTCCGTACCCTTCCCTCCAAGGGGGCACACGCTCTGTGATGAAACACCTATCACTGCCATACCAGCTGTTCTTTTGGCTTTGCTGGGAACTGCCGGGACAAGCATTGTGCCATCTGGGGACCTGGTGCTAATCTGTGTAGAACTACAAAGTTTGCTTGAATAAATTCGAGAAAAAATTATGTTCCCTATCTTAAAGTAGATTAATTGGAGAACATGAACCCTTCACAGAGATTACTATCCTTGTTCACAAATACTGAGCATGTTTGCAGGAGCTTATGCATGCAAACTGAGTTTTTATTAAGGCTTTTAGGTTAGGCCTGGTTCTGAGGCCAATATAAAGATCAGAGAGGTGCATGATGGGAAGGCTATGTAGCATTGGGTAGCTCAAAACAAGTAAACATGAATTTTAAATCCATCAGCATAGCCAGCCACCAACTACAGTGTCTACTTTTTGTGATGTATCCTATAGAAAGCAAGAGAATTCAGCATCTAGGATTTTTCACAACGAAAGCCATAGCGTGTGTTAACACAGGTGTGAGTCACGAACTAGAGAGTTTCTCCATAGTGCTCTTGAGCTGGACTCTCTCATCACTTAGTAAACTGTTGCTTTACATGCTAACCGAAGTGTTGGGGGGCGCTCAGGACCAGGGTTGAGAAACACTGATATATAGTATTATGGATTACTTACAATAACGTTGGAAGTTCTTGGAACAGATCATTTTCAACAGATTCATCCTGCGAACAAAACACATTGATTAACAATGACGCAAATTTAACTTTTTAATGATTTTTTTTACAGCAGTATTAAACACGTATTAACACTTATTTTTAGTAGTATTAACGTTAAACACAACGAAAAAGTTTACAGAACATTACTTCAGTTCATCTCGAGCAGAAACGTTAAATATTCATGTATATGTACGTTATATAAGAACTGAATAAAACGTCCATTACCTGATATGAGGTAAAGTTATAGTCATAAATTTAATATTTTATCTCGAAGAGCAAAGTTTAGCAAACGGTTCAGGCGCTGTCCGTTGGATGTGTTGTGAGGAGCTCCTGAGCGAGATCGTGAGAAGCAGCAGCGGCTCCCGCTCTAGAACACAGAGCAGTTCCCGCCACTCCCCTCACACGAGTTTGTGAGCGAACTTGAATTTATGTAATTTATTTATTTGAAATAAAATAAAAATTAACACGGAAATATATATATATATTTTTAAACGTAAACTTATTTTATATTCAGCTAGTTGCCAAGGCAACATTTCTCATTTAACTTGACGTACTAAAAATCTAAAATAAAAACTATATATAGCTTTTTTTTTTTTTTTTTTTTGAACACTTATTAAAACCTTATTAACATTATTTTGGTGCCCCCTGGCCCCTTATATAATAATAATAATAATAAGTTACATTTAAATAGCGCTTTTCTAGGCGCTCAAAGCCAGTGTTGGGCAGTAACTAGTTACTAACTTACTGTAATAATATTACTTTTTCAGTAACTAGTAGTGTAACTAATTACTAATAAGATTTCAGTAATAATATTAGTTACCATCCATAAAACAGTTTAGTTACTTTTGATAACTTTTGCCTCAACCCCGCTGATTTAAAATCCAACAATCAAATAATTTCTAGATTTATTTTCATAATCACAACTCACACATGCATGTGATGTCCCCAGTGCAGCAGGCAAGCTTGGAATATGGAAACGCTTACATTCAGCACATAGAAATATTGCATTATATTGATTTTGTCAGGAAAAAAGATGATCTAAACACTGTTGTGTAAGTTGTGGCTTTACTTTACTCTGGCATTACATCCCACCCACATCCCTCTGATCAACATGTGGTACATTATATTACTATAATTAAAAATCTTTTTGGAAAATTAAAGTTTCTTACAAACTTATGTGATTTGATAAAATACATAAAATATAATCGTATACGGGTAACGGAGAAATTACAATTAGCTTCAAGCTACATATGACAATTAATGAGATTAATACAACACTTCT